CACCTGCTGGCAGCGACTCTCTTAATACAGCCTGGTGCATCGAGGCCTTCTTTGCTATGAGCGTGTCCTGCTGACTAGTGTTCAGCTCCCCGCCTGCCAGGATGCTTGGGTGTTTTTCTGTAAAGCTCCTTTCTAGCCACTTGGTCCCCAGCCTGTACTGTTGCATGGAGTTATGCTGTTTCAGGTGCAAGATGTTGCATTTACTGTTGTTGAGCTTCACTAGGTTAATACAGGGAGGACGGAGACCCTGTGAAAAGTAGTTCTTCCTGGAATATGGGCATGGCCAAAAGGTCTGTAACTAAGGTGGTGTATGTCATGGTGACTAGTTAATAAAATTAAAAGCTCCATTCCTGTGTCAAGGAGGGAGTAAATTCTACAGGAAAGATATTTTGATCTAACTGAATTGATTACATCCCTGCCCCCTCACAGAAAAGCGGTAATAAAAGCAAAGACCCTTAATTTGAAATGTCACTTTGTTAAAGTGAAAATTGAAATGAGACTGGGCTGATTTTTGTTTCTTATGTAATATTGCCTTTAGTCTTATGGTTTTGGTTTCTAATTTATCTTATTCTACACAGACTGATGCAATGATGTGACAAATTCTGATAGCACTCCTGTTCATTTTCAGTCCCTCATGTATTCAGTATTTCTTTGTTTTGGATTTTTCTGTCAAAAATGGAAAGCAGGAAGCCTGCCTTGCCGAGTTGCAGTCAGATTCAAGGTCTGCTGTCCAGTTCTTAGTTATCCGTTGGTCTTACTGAAGCAAATCGACTTTCTTAGGCATATAAGGTTGAAAGATTACAGAGCTTGTATCAAATATCTTTATAAGATGACTTTCAGCCCCAGAACTTGCCTGCATACGTTATCTTTTCTGCTTCTCTAGCTCCCTAAATGCAATTAGGTTTTATATCATACCATTGTTGTTATTTTTTTGTGCCTTAAGAAAGGCAAATATGCTTTGCTTAATGGCCATAACTGTCTATACTGTCAAGCTGAAACTAACAGTAAGTTAAAACAGTCCACTTATTGAGAACAGTGTATAAATAATTTGTTTTCGTTCTTTCTCTATTTCAAATACATTGTTTTATTTCTTCTTTTAGCTGCCAGCTTGTGGGGTCCATATAAGGACATATGGCAGACTGTAATGAATGCCATTTGGAAAAGGCAACCTGAAGCTATTCATCGCCTTGACCAGGTTTTGAAGAAACACAAATCTGACTTCATTTCTCTCTTCAGAAATCCGGTATGGGACTAATGCTTTCTTGTGGAATGAGTTGGAGAGCTGATGATTTACTCTGTCTTGTCTTGTTGTGTTACATACCATTTAGGCCCTGACCATTCTTTTCAGTCTACATTTTTACAGTATGTAACACAAATGTGTTATAGCAATCTTGTTCTGCTGTAAGAATACAAATAGCTTGAATAATGGATGTTATTTTGTGTCTTGTATAGGATAATTTTATCTGTAACTTTTTTTTTCCCCTCTCATTATTTGAGTGCTATTTTGAAAGGAATAGTAAAAGTATCTGATGATCCATCAGTCAAGTATGAGTTTTTTTTGCTACTCTTGTGTGTCTGAAATAGAGCACAAAACTATTTTATCTGGTTTCGGTCCATAGAATCACAGAATGGTTTGGGTTGGAAGGGACCTTAAAGGCCACCTCGTTCCAACCCCCTGCCATGGGCAGGAACGCCTTCCACCAGACCAGGTTGCTCAAAGCCCCATCCAACCTGGCCTTGAATGTTTTCAGGGATGGAGCATCCGCAGCTTCTCTAGGCAACCTGTGCCACTGCCTCACCACCCTCACCAGGAAGAATTTCTTCCTAATATCTCATCTAAATCTTTCCTCTTCCAGTTTAAAGCCCTTGCCCCTTGTCTTATCACTCCATGCCCTTGTAAAAAGCCCCTCCCCAGCTTTCTTGTCAGCCCCTTTAGGTACTGGAAGGCTGCTCTAAGGTCTGCCCGGAGCCTTCTCTTCTCCAGGCTGAACAACCCCAACTCTCTCAGCCTGTCGTCATAGAAGAGGTGCTCCAGCCCTCAGATCATCTTCGTGCACATTCTTCAGTCAGGTTAATGAACATAGAACAGATGAATACATGAATTTCCAAAATATAGAATGTGTCTTGTTAGGAATGTGAGATGATGTGGAAAAACTCACTGTTTCTTGGCTGATGGGTCACAAGGTAGCAACTAGAAGTATGTCTTCTTTCAGTGGTGTTGCTTCTGCAATATTATATAGCTTTTTAAACTGATAGGTCAGAAAATTTCACAGTCAGCTGTAGAGTTTCATCAGTATAATTTTAGCACCTGACTTTAATAGAAAAAAGAATGATGCAGAAAATAGTGCTTTGGAGCAATGCAACAGTTCTGATCAACAGCCCAGATGTCTTTTATTGAGCTGATACAAATTCCTGTCGAGCATTGTATCAAAATTTGCTTTCCATCTACATTATTCCGAGTAAACTAAATGTCAGCACCAATTGTATAAGATTATTTTTGGTACATTCCCACAAAGAGACCGTTGCTGTGCAAATGTGAAGCATTTTTAGAATGCCTTTACTATCTCTGTGTTTAAAAAAACTGCCTTTGTTTTTGTAATGACAACTGAACCTGTCAGAACTGTGTTTGTGAGGAGGGATTAATGTGTAAAGCTTTATTCAGTGTTTGATCGTGCCATTTTGAATAACTTCTGATGCTTGTTTCTCTTGCAGCCAAAGAATGTTCAGCAGCATGAGAAAATTCAGAAAGCGAGTACAGAAGGGGTTGCTATCCAGGGTCAGCAGGGAACTAGGCTTTTGCCAGAGCAACTCATCAGAGAAGCCTTTATCCTCAGTGACCTCTTTGATATTGGAGAGTTGGCAGCTGTTGAGCTCCTTCTTGCTGGTGAGAAGGGAAAATATTTAAGAGCTGGAGAAATACAACTTAAATAGGACCTTCTTATTTAAGTGTATGCTTAACATGAACGCTTGATTCAGTCAAGGCCTTAGCTTCCTAACATAGAATGTTCTTAAAAAGAAATCTGCTGTCACTGTAGTGTAATACGATAACAGTGTTCTGAACCTTAATGTTCATATTTTATGCAGCTATTGCAAAAGGGGGAATAATGGGAGAGTTTTTTGTGATTTACTTTCTCTATCCCTGAATTTAAGAATAGTTTAAAAATAATTGATTGAGGGCTTTTCCATAAAGCAGTGTAATAGATATTAGTTCTTCAAATTATGTGTTAGTTCTACATTGATATGTGACTGTATTTGGATCATAATCTAATAACCTATTAGTAAGAGAAGTATTCTGGAAAGTGACACATGCTCTGCCTGTAGAAAATTGATTTCAGAGTTATTAAAATATAATTGTTAGTTATCATTACTAGCTAATCTCCATCATTAACTTTTAATTCATTAAAGAAGTAGCTTGCGAATTTGTCACCTTTGGAAAGCCATCTTGAAGTCAACCTTGCTTTCTATTTTGAACTTGGATTTTCAATATAAATTCAGACAGAAAATTTCATTTTGAATAAAGAAAATATATTTTCCTGATAGTCAGCTTGAGCTGACTTACTAAGAGGGGTAGATATCAGTTGCAAATACCATTTGGACTAGGGTATTTATGGACTTGCACTTCTATTTCTCTTAAATTTTTGGATGTGTTAATAGTTGAATATAAATTTTAATGATAGCACCCAAAATATCTGTGATTTCTTTTAAGTGCCTGAAACAAATGGAAGTGGTAGTGAATAACCATGGTTGCTTTGAATGCTACACTTGTATTTCAATTAGAAATACAAAGATATAGAGCTGTTATCAAAGTGTGCGTGTTCAGCTTTCTGTGACTATTCTGTGCCTTTTCATTCTGTAGGAGAGCACCAGCAACCTCATTTTCCTGGCCTGACAAGAGGTCTAGTGGCTGTTCTGTTGTACTGGGATGGAAAAAGATGCATTGCCAATTCGCTTCGAACCCTCATCCAGTCACGCCAAGGCAAGACCTGGACATTGGAACTCAGGTCGGTGTTAGGGTGACGAGCTGATCACAGCTCTTTGGTTTGAGTGCTTTTAGGACTAGTTAGATTCAGGGGAATATGAATATTCTCAAACGTGTGTGCTTCTCATAACCTGACGCAGCTGCTTTCATGTTTGTTTTTAAGCATCACATTCTTTTTTCTTACACGTATTTTTATTGGATTATAAGGATATCCATTTTATTTTCAGTTCTTTCTTGTTACTTCACCTTGTGGCAGTGTTTTGCTTCAGGCACCCTCCCAGTCAGTGTTGCTGTAACTAGTGATGATCACTCAGTATCTCAGAGACTAAGTTTCTGCCCTTGCTGTGTGCTAACTTTCCATGTCCTGCAAAACAGAGAGTTGTGCTCCTGCCTTTACTTAAAATGGATGGGCTATCTACTGGCAAACTTAATACGCTGACATCTTTTGACTTTAAAAAGAAAACAGTACGCACTGTTTACTTCCAATGCACAGTGGGTGCTTGACTAGGAAAAGATTAAAAGATGTGTTCTAGTGTAAATATAAATTCTAAATTTATATTTATAAGTAAGTGATTACTTTAGAACTAGCTCCAGCACTTTAGTAGCGTGTACATAATTGGACAATTGCATTTACTAGTAAGAAAGAGGCTGTGAGCTCGTGAGTTATATGCATCTTATGTAGAGTACTTTTTCCTTTTGATAGAAATCTTAACTAGCTGATCCATGTTGTATTCTCATATTCTCATGTTCTTGAACCTACAGTTACCTAAAGACTTTGTATCCATTCAGGATGGTGTTTTGAGAGCTCACTGCTTACCGATTAACGATGCGCATTTAGTTACTTTATGTATACAATGCAGTTGTACGTTTTCTGTCAGCAAATACATTTGATGGGAGTCGTTATTGTAGACTTCCTCTGTGGCTGGGAATAGTATGATTAATTGTTAAATTTATATTCTTTCCATTATAGTCAAGAGTTAGTGTCCATGACAACACGCTTTACAGATGACCTAATGGAGCAGGGTTTAACTCAGAAGATTCTCACTCTTGTGTCTCACATTGATTTGAACAATGAATTTGATAAACTCCAGAGAGAGCGAGGACTGGGCAGTGAGAAACATCGCAAAGAGGTAAATATTTACTGGGTGTGAATATTCTTCTGAACTACTGCACAGATTAGAATACAGTTAGACCACCAAGAGATATGAAGTGATTTTTTTTTTTCTTCTGCTTTCTAGTTTCTGTTCTCTACCTTTGCAAGCTTTGTTACTGTCTGAGGGATCACAGTAACTACGCCACAGCTTGTGCTATACCAGTGTGGGGTCCAGATTGCTTCCTGCATTTCTGTTTTGCTGTAGCTCCCTGATGCTAGGGCACACCTTATTTGTAGTGAAGAAGTGTAATCAAGGACAGTAAGAAAGTAAGGCTAATATTTGCACTATGTATAATTTTTTTTTTCACTTTTCTTCTAAAGACTGTATATTAAATCATCTGCTCTCGGCACTACCATTATCAGCACCATTGGAATAAAAATAGCAAACTAAAATTCACAAATTATTAAAACAGATTGAAACCAATTCTAGTCAGGCAAATAATGCTCTTTTTAATAATCCAATTATGTTAATATGAGCAGAAGCATTTCTAACAGTGAGGCGAGAATTGCTTGAAAATGAATTCTCATTTTTGTAATCCTTGAACTTAATTGAGACCGTGACTAACAGCAGAATATGTTTCTAGTAGGAAGATTTTAAACATTCTTTTAATTTCGGAACTTCTTTCTAGTGGGTGATCTGTCTAAAAATTATTCTATGTTATAATCAGGCAATTTGTTTTCTACCAAATAAAGAACTAGTTTTACACTTTTGCTAATAGTCTAGAAACTATGCAAATAATATCCTTCTGATTTACCTTACGTTGTCTTGATTTACGTTAAATTTATTTAATTTACTTTAATTTTACCTTAAAATTTGTTTAACGCTTAATGTTAGAAGGTTTTTTTCTTCCTTTTAGGTGGAGTACCATATTCCCCTCTGTATTCATTAGAACTATTATTCTGCTGGAGTCTGTGCACAAACCTCTTGCTGTGTTAAATGTTGAAAAGTTTTTCTCTTTATCACCATGCGTGTGATTTTACTGGAGATAGAATGCTTATAGCTCGCTATATTTTAACCAGTTGCAATGGATATAGGGCAAGAACATTATTAGAAGCTCATAATTTAGCTAAATAAAATACAGTTATACAAAGACCATTATGAAAGGCCATTGGTGGCTTTTTATTTTCTAAGTTGTGGGGTTTTTGGCTTTTTTTAAACTTCTACTGTTCTCATAAGACTTAAAGCAGTTAAAACTCAGCTTGGGGGGAGGGATGAAGGTAACAAGTGAAGTAAACGTTTGTCCTTGTTTGAAAACAGGTAGTTTTTGTTGTAACTGTTAGAAAAAAGACAAACTTTGTTTTCAAGAGGCATTATACTTAATTGTATCATAGCATGCAAGATTTTGCCAAATAAAAAGAAAAAAAAATATTTTTAGTATGCAAATGCTCGCTAGCCTTTATGTTAGACATGGTATTTGTTCTGTATGTAGCAGAGGATGATAGATTTAATTTATGTTTATGTTCTAAAGTTGGTATAAATATTTTGTCTAGGGGAAGAAAGTTCTAATTTTAAGTGTCTTTTATATTTCTCAATGTCTTAAAAGTTAGGTATTTGTATGGTCCGTTGAGGGCACCTCTTTTGGGGCAAGAGGAAAGCTATGACCTTACCTGGATATAACTACCAGTGCAGTTGTATATTAGAGACAGGAAATGTGACTTTTGCGTGATACGTTTGCAGCTACAAAAGTTCTCTGTGGATTCATGTCTCCCGACCTTGACAGAGATGCTGGTTTGCATGTAGTCATATGCTCACATGTCACATGAAATACATGGGAATAGGAATGCATTTAACAAGCAGAAGTGTGCCTTTTGTTGTTTATCAGTTATAAAAACCCCAATATTTTCTGTAGCTGCTGTCTTTAGAGTAATTTTTAACTTAACCTAGTCATACTGATTGACTGAGAAGGACAAATTGAACATGTTGCCAGAGTATTTATGTTCACTGGTTTTTGTTCATTCTTTCTTTCAAAGGTTTCTGACCTCATTAAAGAATGCCGACAGTCCTTGGCTGAAAGTCTGTTTGTCTGGACCTGCCAGTCACCACTGAGTAAGGATGACACTCTAATCCTCATAAGTTACCTGGAGAAAGTAACAGTGGAAGCTGATGGCTCACTGGACGGCGTGAACTTGTCTCTTCTCATGGCTCTCCTTTACTGCTTTGATGTCAGCTTTCTGGAACAAGGCACGGAGGATCGTGAAGGTAATGCTGGCAGGTTTCCCAAAGAGGTTATGTTGTGCAGATAGATAAATTGTTATTTAACCAATTTTGTTACTGATCAGTAACGGATTGGTAGGATTTTGCATTGTTTGTTTTCACATTCATTTACTGGGTGTTGGTGTTGTGTTTGTTTTTGTTGTTCTTCAAGATCTGATGCACCGGCTGCCTCTGCTGGCAGAAAGACAGTATATAGCAACAATACATACTCGTCTTCAGGACTCTCAGCCTTGGAAATTACCAGGCCTGCAAGCTACTGTTAGATTAGCCTGGGCGCTGGCATTACGAGGAATATCCCAATTATCCGATGTGACAGGTAAATTAACCTAAAGTGCAGTTGCTGTGCGTTAGTATTCACAGCTTGCAAGTGGTGTAAGTCAAAGTATCTGTTACCTTTTTGAAGTGTTAGTATTTACCTTTATGATAAAATTACTGTTGACACTCCTTTAAAGCTTTCTCAGTACGTGAGTTTGGTTGTCGAGAATTGAATTGCTCTGAAATGTACACAGATTTAGAAATAGTTATTAGACAGTAACATTGCGTAGTGTCTCATTGAAGAGAAAGACATTTTAATGTACTGAAAAATGTGAAAGATTGCATTTTAGCAGCTTTAGTATCATTTGAACACTTAAGAATAGATTCATGCTTATGAATTTTTACATCTGTAAATGTTAAACCTCAGTGGTGAGAGGACAAATTTATTTTTATTTTTTTTTCCCCTCTGCACTTCACAAGCTTTTCAGGCTCCCTACTAGGTCAGAATTGAGTCTACTCCAGAGTATCTATTAAAGAAAATGTAAACATTATAATTAGTGTTTAATTAAGGTTAGTTTGTGATTCTTGGTTTGCAGCTTTAGATTTGACTAGGCAAATGGATTATGCACTTTAACACTTATTAAAGAAGAAAGTTGAGATCATTGCCTAACATTAACTTGTCTTTTCCAGTCTAGTGTTTTCCTGTACAGTAGAAAAAACATAGTTGATAGAAGCATGTCGATTTGCATGTCAGCTGGGTATTCTGAAATATGTTTTGTTTGGTTAACAGATAATTGTAATTTATTTTTTCCCCTCTTGTGATTTTTGGTGCTCAGCTCTTGCAGAATTCACTGAGGCAGATGAAGCAATGGCAGAGCTAGCGGTTGCTGATGATGTCTTCCTGTTCCTGACTGAATCTGTTGTGGGGTCTGAAAATTTCTACCAGGAGGAATTTTATATTCGCAAAATTCATAACCTTGTCACAGACTTCCTTGCACTCATGCCAATGAAAGTAAGTTGTTTGTGTGAATAGCAGTTCTTGAGAAATGCGGGCTCCTCTTCTATATTGCTGACATTAGGACAGGTAGCATAGAGGTTCATATATGACCCTCAGCTTGAAGTGCTGCAGTTCAGACAACTTGTTGACTTTATGGAACCCATATGGTTTGGGTTTGTTTTCCCCACTGAAGTAGAATGTGATTTTTAAAACACTTCAGTGTGGTATGATTTGCAAAGCAAGCTTTCGTGGTGGTAGTGGTCTTGTTTTGTTTTACATGATTAAAATGTAAATGAATGCTGAAATGGATGGCAATGTATGTGGATATTGATTGTTGTTGTTATTGTGTGTTTTTTTTTCTTTTGATACTGACAGTAATGTAACCTAGATTAACTTACGGTTTTTGTGTCTCATCTTTAATTTATTCTTTAAATATGGGAAAGATCATTAGTAAAAGGGAGGGATTCTGCTTTTTCAGTAGTATCAATTGTTGGGAAAATAAGCAGCTGTTTTCACTAGAACAGCAGAAATGCTGCAAAAGGGCTTGAAAAAAAAAGTTTGAAGCAGTTAAAACGGTTCCATTTGTGCAAGACCTTGTATCTAGACATGGAAAATTAAAATTCTGTGAAAACGCTTTTATTTAATTGATGGAGGCTTTATTTTGTGACCTTCATTGTGTTGAGCTATACTTAGAGTTGCCAAATAATTACTTTTTTCAGTGTGCAAAATAGAAAGATTTAAAAATGTGTTTTGTTCATTGTAACCTCGCGGAATGAGAACAATATTGCAGGAAAAACATTATTTGAGCCTTAAGAATCTTTGAGGGCCTATACAAATGTGTTGTAGATACCTTTCAGGTTTAATCCTGATTTATTTATAATCTCTTGGTGTTGTGTGTTGTTTTCTCAAGCTGTCTTTTTAACCCACAGAATATCCATAGAACTAGTATAATGTCGATTCAAACAAGTTCACGTTGATAACTTCACAGCTATATTTCTGCTGCAAAGGCTACCTGCATACAACACTTACTACATTGTTAACAGGCTTTGGACATCCTTTGAAGGCTGCATGCCATGGTGTTTTCTGTAATATAGACACAGTAGCCCTTAGGAATCTTTTCAATATATGAGGAATACGTGAGGTATATTTTATGGAAGGTCCTTAAACAATCCAAGTGCAAACAGATTTGGAACTGGGAACTTCTTTTATAAGGCAGTTCTTCATTGGATAGTGTTGGTTTACAAAAGATGAAATGTCTCCCTGTAATGATACCAGTTCTTGTGAGAGGGATAGAAGGTAAATTTTGACTGACCCAGGCTGAGGTTGCTGCCATATTCATTTAGAACAGATGCGACCCTGCCTCCTGTATCCACAGAACTGCCTGAAAATACCAAGGATGTTGGTTGGTTTGTTGGTACATCTCTCATCTTCATTGCATTATGGAATTGGAGGCTTTACCTCTGGGAAGAGTATTCCTCTTCCATTTCAGTTGTTCTGCTTTGGTTCAGGTCTGCAGTTGATTGTAGCTAATACCTAAAGCTGAAGAGAGATTTTTGTTACAAGTAGGATTTTGTAATACAGAATATAAGCAAAAATCTGACCGTTGACTTGTATTCCAGTCTGATAGAGGCCAGTACTAGTTTTTTTTATGGGAAAGACTTTGTTAGCAGGTAATTGGGATATAGCCCTACAAAAGAACTTTTTGTCTTAACTGCTATTAGTTAGTGTTTGGCTTATGTACTCAGCTATTCCTACTGAATCTCAAATTTTAGCTAAACAGAAGTATCTGCTTTGCAGGATCTCTTTTTTTTTTTGTATATATAACCTTTTTTTCAGTTTTATTTAAACGTGTAAGTCAGCATTTTATTTAACTCTTGTGTATAGTTTTAACATTTATGCTACTTGCCAGTGATGATTTGGATAAATCTTTTGGTTAACTGCATTACATTCAGAACTCAATAATTAGCTTTAATAGTTCAGATAATTCATTATTTCATTTTTCAACACTCAATTTTGTCCGTGTATTAATTTTGTAGTATACTAATTTGACTGGTTTGCTCTGATCCTTTCCACAGTTATTTCTATTTTTTTACTATTTTTTGTTGATGAGACACAATTATTTTGCTGCTCATTCAATTTTGCAAATTCAGATATATTATAGACCACGAACTGGTCTCTTACTGACCATCACCATGTTTTAAGTTTTGGTGTGCTGAATTGGTCACTGTTTTCTGTTTCTTGTTCCTCCCTGTCTGCTTAATATTTAACAAAATGTAACTTTTCATCTCATGGCTATTTGCTTTCTGTAAGCCTCTGGGGGGGTTTTGTCAAAGGCTTTTTGTCATTAAAAATCATTGTCAGCTGTTTTTTGTTTAGCAGTTAGTTTTTTCAACACAGAGAATTTTAGGATACTGGTTAAAGGGCGCTTTTTTTTAATTTCTGCAGTTGTTCTTCCTTTCCCCTCCCTTCTCTTTCCCCCTCCCCCCCATTGTATTTACTAATATGTGGTAATGCTTTTAGTTGCAACAGACTAGGTCCAAAGTAATTACATCAATCCAAAACTTTTCAAAATATAAAGTAGCTGTAAGTAGAAGTAGCTTTAAGTGGCTGAGAAAACATTACTTTAGATTTTTCTGTTTCTTTTCACTCCTTGTGCATAGAGGTCTATGTTCGTTTGAAGCTAACCCATCTAGCTTTTGAAGTAAAAAGAGGAAAAGGATCCACCTTTTGGGGCCAAACCAGAGGATCTGGTGAAGTCAGTTGGGAAAAACTCCCATGGTATAAGTTCCGGGCTTTTGCTATGAACTGAGGGACTTAGCAGTAAGAAAGTGATGGAATATATCTTTGAATGTAAGGCCTTGGGGGAGAGAGTATTTAAAAAAAAATAATTGAATGTTCTTGTCTTGTATGTGCAAGTTCATTTGCTTTCTTATTTTTTAATAGGCTGTTTAGACAATTCCATTATTTGTGTTCTGTTTCATTCTTAGCTAAGCATAGACCAGTGTTTTTTTCCCCCTTCATAAATTGTGTAGGTGAAACAGCTGAGAAACCGCGCTGATGAAGATGCTCGCATGATCCACATGAGTATTCAGATGGGTAATGATCCACCTATTTCCCTTCGGAGAGATCTGGAACATTTAATGCTTTTAGTAAGCCCTATTTTCTTTTAAGTTAGTGTTGCAAAAAGTGATTGTGACTTCCCTTCTTAAAATAAGATGGCTTAAGAGAATAGATATGTTAAGATAATCTTATTATAATTTAAAATTTAGATAGTTAAATATTTTGTAAAATAAGTTCAGCTCAAGAATTCTTCAAACATAAGAAACAATGCCGTATTTACTTCCTAAACAAGAATTAAATAGCACTGGACTTAATGGCACTGGCACGGGTTGCCCAGAGAAGCTGTGGCTGCCCCATCCCTGGAGGTGTTCACGGCCAGGGTGGATGGGGCTCTGAGCAACTTGGTCTGGTGGGAGATGTCCCTGCCCGTGGCAGGGGAGTTGGGGCGAGATGGGCTTTAAGGGCCCTTCCAACCCAAACCATTCTATGATTCTATGATGATTCTACGACACTTCATTAACATCAGGAGCCAAGGCAGTAAATGAATTCTTTTACATGAAGTTATAGAAAGTGTCTATATTTAAGAAAAAAAAAAAATACCCTTTAATCTAAAAAGAGGCAGACCCAGCACTGTATGTTATCAGTCAGATATGGGTTTTCCCCCACTATTGACAATTATTCTGATAAAGAATTGAAATGTTTAAATAATTTTCATGTGTTGATATATTTGTAATGAGAATTTTGGAAGACTCTTTTCTGTTTGCTGTAGAGTAGGCTAGGCAAGGTGACTCCATTCAGGTTGCTGGAATTACAAGTTCCCTGTTTCAGTAGAATTTTGACCACAAACCTACGTTTAAAGGAAAGACTTTTCTGTTTCTGACATATTTTTTAATAAAAGAAAGAAAATGGAAATAAAATTCGAAGAAAATTTAAATAAATAAATTTATTTAAATATTAGTTATTAAGGTTACCTAAATGCCCTTTCAAAAAAACCCATCACATCAGAAAACAGATTTGCATATTGAACTGGTGCATTTTATATTTTCTGTTTCTGAATAAATTAAAAACTTGTGCATTTCCCCTTATTTAACATGAAAATCTACAAGTGTGCAATTTTGAATATAGCAGTCTTTAATATAGGGTTACTTGTCTTTTCCAAAGATAGTCCTTTAGATTGTAGGACATTAGCAGGAAAATTTGTAGTGAAACACTTTCTTAAAAGTAGCTCAGATATATATAGTAAACTTAAATGAAGAATTAGAAATGAAAATTTACTCTGAGAAATTTGTATGTTCAGGTAACGGGTAAGATTTCTAATCCTGATACTGGCTACCTGGTTTTTAAGTTAATATATCAAGGTACGCAAATGGTTGTTCAGGAGAAATGACACTGTTTTCTTAGCAATGATTTGATCTACAATAATTAGATAGAAGGTTACGAAAGTTTCCCTTATGTGTGCATTTTGAATTTCTCTGGCTGTCATTTGTTCTGATATTGCTATTTAGAAGCTGTCATTTTCAGAGAGTTTTGAGGAGTGAAACAGCAGCCGTGGGATGCTTTGCCTCTCAGATGCGTTTAGCTTATCTAGAAGCAGTGCTTATTGTTGAAGTAATCATCTTTTCTTTACATAGCTGATATTTTTCTAACATCTTCCTTTCTCTGATAGATCGCTGAATTGTATAGGAAAGACCCCTTTAATCTGGAACTTGCCCTTGAATACTGGTGTCCATCAGAGCCTTTGCAGACATCTACCATCATGGGATCCTACCTTGGAGTAGCTCATCAGCGACCCCCTCAGCGCCAGGTTATCTAGATTTTCTCGAGTAATTACTAGTAACTTGAAATTAAAGTAATTAAAAAAACAGGCAACAAAGTTTTTGGTACCCTTATTACAGATAGCCTCTAAGAAGACATTATCTTTTATCAGTGGCTTATCTGCATGTGTCCTGCTCTGCATGGCATGGTTATTGTTGCTTGCTCTAAAATGAGCTAGTGCCAGTCATTCGTGGTTGTCAATAAACTTAGTAAGAAAGAGCCCTAACAAACCTCTTTGAAAACTTTGTTTTGGTCTGATTTTGTGGCAGTTGCTAAGTGAATTCTGATAACAATGCTCTTGTGTTTTCTGTCTGGTGACCTCTATGTACCTTTTTGGTGTAACTGAGAAGTTAAATTCCTTAACTATGAAAAAGTTTTATTAACTGTATTTGATGGTATTTTGGGGGTTAAAAATCCGTAAGAATATTGTAATTATTTAAAGCCCAAAGGTTATAGCCCATGAGAGACAGAACTTGAAATTAGAATGAAGCAGCGATCTAAACAGATGAAGCAGACATTCTAAAACTCTTTAGATACCTGGGATGCTGGCAGCCTTCAGTGCTTCTGGAAGGGCTGTGCAGTGTTAGGCAAAACCTAGTACGAGGCATATCGGGCATGTCGCAAGACCCACCCAGAATACAGGCAACTTAAGTTAGGACCTGGTGCAGTCTGCGGATGCCCTAATATGACCCTGGGAGGAACCACTGTGTGTGTGAGTTACTGTGCAGGGGCAGGACAAGCATAGTGAATTCTTTCCCAGTATCGCTTAACTTGCACTGTGAGATGTATTAATAATACTGCTGTGCAGTATTTGTGAGCTGAAGTAAATTTTATCACTAGAAATACAGAATTGGAGAGTTAGCGTATCCTTTGTGATAGCATGAATTATTTTGTTTTGTTTATTTCCTCTTTGAAACATGTTTTTCACCTATAGGGAAACTGAATAGGCAAGTCTACAAAGGATTTTTGTTTTTTTGAGTTGTGATTCTGTTTTCTGACTTTGCCTATTGTTTTCCTAAAATACTCAGCTTTATTTGGTTTTTTTTTTAAACACTGATCTTTATTTGTTCTAGGTTGTCTTGTCAAAGTTTGTTAGGCAAATGGGAGATCTACTTCCTTCCACAATTTACATCCCATACTTGAAAATGCTGCGGGGACTGGCTAGTGGGCCTCAGTGTGCTCATTACTGCTTTAGTTTGCTAAAAGTCAATGGCAGTAGTCATGGTAAGAAAAGTGACACTTCAGCTCTTTCTCAACTCTCTCTTTAGAAAAGTACAAAGACTCATTTGAGATGAATTGTGCTTTCATACTTTTAACATTTTGTTATTACAAAGATGAAATTGGAAAGCTTCACTTGAAAGTGTAATCTGGGAAAAAAAAAAGACTGATTAGGTAATGAAATATCTGAGCACCTTAGCAAGTAATTCACATAATGAAATAATGCATTTTTTAAAAAGGCTGTATCTTAACAGCATAAGAGATGCAGAATATCAATATTGCTTATTGTAAAATATAAAATGAGTAGTGTCTTGAATTGTATATTTTGTAAATACAGTTATCTTTCCTGAGCTGACTTTTTTTGGAAGCACTTTATTCTGTTAGAATTTTTTGATACATGTAATATAATAGCGCACTCTCAAAGCAAGAGATGCTAATCAGTCCTGTGTTTTGCATTAATTTTGCATTGATCAAATTGGAAAAAAACCCCTACTTTGAAGATGTAAGTAATGCTGCAAACATTCTGATTCATAGAAAGGAAAACTTATTTGTACTGGCTTTTCATATTAGCACCTTTCTGTCTCTGTTAAAAAACAAACAAACAAACAAAAGCAAACCAAACAAAAACAAACAAAAAACCCCCAACAACAACAAAGGAACCCAAACTAGAACCACTGATTGCGGAAACAATAGCTTTACTTTGAACTTTATTTTTTCCTCTAGATAAGAAAGTTTTCCTTTTAAATTTAACTACCCTGCTTGTCACCTTGTGAGAGAGTGGAAAGAAAATCTTGTCACCTGTTTTGTCATTTTTCTAGCAGAGAACATCCAAGGAGCAGGTGGCAGCCCTGTCTCCTGGGAGCATTTCTTCCACTCTTTGATGCTTTATCATGAGCACTTAAGGAAAGACTTGCCAAGTGCAGACAGTGTCCAGTATCGTCACCTGCCTCTCCGAGGAATCACGCAGAAAGAACAGGATGGATTAATTGCCTTTTTACAGCTGACCACTGTTATAGTAAATTGGGTAAGTAACGTTTCATTTGGTTTTCTTTGTTAATACTTTCTTTTTTTTCTTGCAAAACATCATCATTGAGCTGTGAAGTTCACTTGACCAAAAAGTTATGTGGGGCAAATTTACTTAGCAGTTGCTGTCATTTGGTTAGTGAGCTTCCAAAGTATAGGAGGCATCAGGAATAATTGTTATGACCAAACATGCAGTCCGGGTGAAGCAGGAAGAGATGACACCTTTTCCTGTGTTGCAATGAGAATTTTGTTTCTTGCTTTCCTGATTTTCTTGCTTTCCTGACATATTTTGGTGTCATGGAGATGAGGTGTATTCAGAAGAAAGGACTGCGGAGTAGGAAAGCTCTTTGCATTTAATTATGAGTTTGAAAAGGCAAAACTAATGGATGAATTTAAAAAGAAATGGTAGAAATTTGGCAAGGAAACTGATCAACTGTGAAACTTACCTCCAGAGTCAGATTTAAAATGTTCCCAAACCAAGGGTGTAAAATGTGCCGTGAATTGACTGGAAGAGGGTTCCAGGAGAATAAAACTGCAAATGCAGACTTGCATTGTGAGTTGTCTGGGTAATTCTGGATAGTGTGAAGTTCAGCTCTTCAGTACCCACCAGACTCTGCAGCCTGAACGTTCTGTGATGTAGCGAGATACCCTTGGTTTTGCTGACACAAACATAAGACAGGTCAGAGAAAGTAATTAGGCTTTTGAGAAATCATCCTTGGTCATGGTGATAATGGGGTGTTCCTATGTCATATCAGTGTTAGGTAAGTGTGGGGAAAAAGGAACTCTTAAAACTAGTTATTTCCTGGGATCATCAAACCATAACCTGGGAAGAAGGATATTTGTTGTAAGGACACAGGGAATTATCATTTGATGAGGCTAAAGACTTATTTCTGTCCAGTGGTTCATCTGAGAGTCTCAAATGAGCTTACACTGGTGGTGACCCTGCTCTTAGATTTAAACAAATTCATATAAGTTCCTAGCAAATGCCGAAATGCAATCTAAGTTTGTAACAGAAATATTGATAAAGTCCCTCGACCAGTGCTTGAAGAAGCTGTCTAGAGTGGAAGTACTTAAACTTACTTGAGACTAATTCCATGAATGTGTGTCTACTAAAAAAAAAAAAAATTTGAGTTGTTATGAGAAGCTTATATTATGCACATAATTTTTCTGTATGGATAGGCATAATTTTAGTACTCAAGAGTCATTAAATTCAGCTTTTTTGGTTTGTTTTTTTTTGCTTTGGCATGGTCTGCCATTCTTCTGATGTGTTGTGTACCTTCAAGTACAAAGCAGAGCTGTTGATGCTGAACTGTGGGTTAGAGATTCTAAGACATGAATCATCTTCAAAGTAATAATCTGCAGTTTTGTTTTCTGTTGAACTCCGCAGAGTGAGAACGCTCGCTTGGCTCTTTGTGAGCACCCTCAGTGGACACCAGTAGTGGTCATTCTGGGACTTCTGCAGTGCAGCATTCCTCCTGTTTTGAAAGCAGAACTATTAGAAACCCTTACTGCTTTTGGAAAATCTCCTGAAATAGCTGCTTCGCTCTGGCAATCCCTGGAATATTCACAGGTATTTTGGGATTTTCAGTGCTTAGAACTATAGCATCCCAATCCATTGACATTGTCAGCATATTTGAAATAGTATTGCATTGCCTCCTAAATTTTCTTGTTGACATTGTTGAATATAATTTTTTTTACTTAGTTAATGCAGTTCGTTCTTTGAAACAATTTTGAAAATGACCGTATGGTTTTATGCCTCAGAGATCTCATTGGCTGTGCTTATTTTACGTAAATACAGGTTTCCTAACAGACAGTCCTGTGTGTTCAATATGTTTTTTCCTCAGTGTATGTCATCAGTAATAAATGTTCTGCAGGTTACATAATTTTCTATTTGGAGTTGTTTTGGGTTTGGGGTTTTTTTTTTTGGTGTGCAATATTCTTCCTATTCTTCCAGTGTGAGTAGTGCTCGTAGAAAGAAGGGACTGGCTAAAAAGCTCCACTTTCAGGCATTTAATTTTCAGAGGAAGTTAATTGTATAGCGTATTGTTGCCAACTTTCACATTTAGATGGCAAACATCACATACATATTAAAACCCCTACCTTTTAAGAAAGTGTTTTTTCCCTTCTGTCTTGATTTCAGAGAAAAAATTTAAATAGAAAATCTAAGGAAGATGAATATCAAATGAAAATGTTCTCAGTATTGTTAATTCACAAATCATAATGGGATGGGCTTATTTTAGAGTGTGTACTATGGTTCAGACTGATTGCTGTTTTATTTGGGAGAACTTGAGGCATTTGAACTGCAAGTGCTGGTTTATTATTAATTACTAATAAAAAAACCCCTGACAATAATGACATCTTATAATAGTAGTATTTTAAGTGCTCACCACCTTTGCTTCCTAATTTATGATATTCCTTAAAATACACTGTGGTAAGAGATAACAAGGGAAATGTCTTTCCCATAGCCAATATAAGACAAAAATCATTAATATGAAAGTATTTCTGTTCTTTGTTTCATTTAACAGTAAGCATGATGCAGATCTTTGAGGGTGTAAAGCTAGAAGCACACGTGTGTACAACACACGTACACGTGGATTGTACACGTGTATAATCCAGCCTTCCAGACAGAATCTTACCTTTTTACCTTTTAAGACGATTTAGGAAAACTCTTCTTCTTACAGCTAAAAAGTGATGAGTACCTTTTAGTCCTGATAGAAATGATGGAGATGCACTTTGACGTGAAATGTATTGTTTGCCTGTTTTTGTTTCTCTTTCTGTTTTGAAGATATTACAGACTGTGAGAAGTCCAGGCCAGAGACAAGCCATTGGTATTGAGGTAAGGATTTCTTTGTACCTGGGCAGCCTCTCTGACCATCTGCATATGAGTTTGGGAGACACTTGCAGAGGCTCCATCTGCTGCTGTGTCCAGGGAAAAACTTTGGAATAGTGCTCTCATTTCACTGCTTCTTAATTTACTCTCAGGCCTGCTTGTAATTTCTGGAAGTTTTATCCATTTATCAATCTAGTGCAGGTTCATACTAGTAACAGAGGAGCATTTAAACCCTCAGATTCCTTATGAACATTTATTAAGATTTTTCCTGTTTCCCTAATTTGGCCTCAATTCTGTTACATCTTAGTACAGCTCAGTTAACTTCTAATAAAAGTGATAGATAAAAGCAAAGTGTGTAAATGTTGAGGCATATCTTCTAGTAGCTCAGAAATGAATGAAAATTGCTGAACTGAAATGTCAGTACTGTTGCTTCACTGCTTTTGCTTTGGTTTTGGTGTATCATAGACAAGAATACAGCAAAGTTAATTCACTGTGAAGTAATTCACAGATGATGCCCTTATGTTATTTGTTCTCATGTTTCTTCCTCCCTCAAAATCTTTGATTTTTTCTCCTTCTGTTTTTGCTGTCCTTTTGGGAAGGTTGAACTGAATGAGATTGAGTCCCGATGTGAGGAATATCCTTTAACCCGTGCATTCTGTCGACTCATCAGCACACTAGTGGAGAGTTCATTCCCCTCTAACTTGGGAGCAGGTCTCCGCCCACCAGGCTTTGATCCCTATCTCCAGTTCCTCAGGGATGCTGTGTTTCTCCGATTCCGCACCAGAGCTTACCGGAGAGCTGCTGAAAAAGTAAATTTTGTTTGAAATTTTTTTGGGGGGGATGTAGTTAAAATTATTTGGCACTGCTGATGTGGCTTAGGTCTGTTTGAGCGGCTGTGCAAGTCTGATGCAGCAGAGGTAACCTGGAGCAGTTCACAGTGTTTTGATTCTGTAAACAGGTGATTTTGCAACTCACGGGTCATCAGGATCTATGAACTACTTCTAACGAGCCTGTATAAAGTATCTTTAAAAAAAACAAACCACTTTATATTATTGCTAAATTTCAATTTGCTATACAGTATTCTGCAACTCTGCTATATGGCTAATGACTTCTGAACATCACATGCCCACATCTACAAGTCAGATTTGTCCTTTCTTCATTGTTACTTCAGAGACTATTTCTGACTTGCTGAACCAAGGAATTTGAGTTTCCTTTACGATCCTTCTGGATGAAAGCATGTGCTAACTGTATCCTGGAAGCTATTAATGATCTGTTATTAGCTGTTTACCTGTTAAAGATTCTTTATTGCCTGTTGTTTCAGTATACTAATATGTATATGGTATAATAGAGCCTAAAATAGGCAATAAATCTATTTCAGTGTTCTGTTTTACTTCAGAATGAAAGCTTGTCCTTTCAAATTACTTGACATGATGAATTACAAGTGTTGGGTAGTATTTCAGAATTAGATAGTCATGCCATACTTCTGATCCATCACTGCACTGCCTGTTATATTCTTTGTCATCCTGGTCTTGTTGCTGCAGTATCAGTCTTGCTCTGTGTATGACGTTTTCTTCGTTTTGTGATTGTCTACAGTGGGAAGTAGCTGAGGTAGTTCTGGAAGTGTTTTACAAATTGCTGCGGGACTATGAACCTCAACTGGAAGACTTTGTGGACCAATATGTGGAGTTACAAGGTTAACTTGTTCATTTGTTCACTGACAAACGGAATTGTAGCTTGCTTTGCTCTCTTGCCTCTGTCTTGTGATCTTGTTTAACATTGCACGTAAGCTGGTGGAAAGCTAGACTAAAGCTTTGGGATAGGAACGTGTACAAAAAATGTCCATGTACTATCGGAGCTATGTTGCTGATTCAGTAGGGCTTCATGTACTCCATTTCCTACTTCCCTAGCTCTACTGGGAGGATGACTTCTGACTCTTGTATTGCTGATTTGATGAAAGAGCAGCATTTGACACTTCAAAAACACCTTGGTTTTGGGCTCGTTCCTCTGGATTTCTTTGGTCTATATCTAAATCACCACGATTCACAGGGTTAATTTAAAGATGTCAGTGTATTTGATATATTATCTAATACTAATATTATTGATATATTAATTATCCAGGGCAGACAGTAGCAGTAGATTTATGATCTGAAGTAATTTAATTCTGGACAACTGTTCTTTAAAAGTCCAAAGTAGATGGCAGTTGCCTCGTTATAGGAAATTCAAGCTTATTTGGGCTGCAGATTTTTTTTTCAATGCAAAGTTTCTTCTTAACATTGAAAGCCAGCCTGATGCCTGTGGATTTGCTTGTAGCATTAGAGGGCTATAAGAACGACTTCTTAAGTGAGCAGCTACTTTAAGACATATCTCTCCAGTGAACTTGCCTCAGTCTGGGAGGCCTTTATACCCTGTACTTTGACAGACAGTTCTCAGCAGCTTAACTGGCTTGAGCAATTTCTGTTAGCTCGTTTCTGTCCTTAGCTAGTGTCGCGAATGAGTGGTTTTAAGGTCGCTCAAAGAATCACTATCAAAGGTATTAGCAGAAATGGTTTTAATACGAATTGACAGAAAGGAGTCTTAACAAAGTTAGATGGCAAGGTTCACTCTATTACTTACTACGTGAAAGAAAGGTGCGCAAGAAAGAAGAGATAAAAAAAAGGGTTAAATCTGAGCTAGAGTAGATTACACAGAGACCAGGGGTAAAAGGGGAGGGGGTAAGGGAGACCCTCCTGTTGAGTCAGTAGGTAGCAGTAGGATTTAGCAAGCAGCGCTTTTCATTTAACAGCTGTTAATCACTAACTAACTTAACACCTATGAAGTACTATGATCATAGCAATGACTTAAATTGTTACAAGGTATTTGAATCGATTCACACATGCATGCACACAAACAGTAAGAGCATGGATTTCTGAAATCGTAGTGAAGCCCAGGAAAAAGGGAGGGGGGGATGCACCACCACAGCTAGTCCTTTGGCTTGTATGATTATTTGCGGGTTACATGATATATTGGAGAAATGGGTTAAAACTGATCTTTTTGACTAGATCCGTTTCTTGACCTGACTCCATGTGTGGCTCCACAGCGGCATGGCATGTCTGTTGGCATGTTAGGGACCAGCACAGACACAGAATGAAAGGAAGGAAAAGGGGATTGTTTAAACTGGTGCCAAAAGAAACTGCACCTTCTTTCTCACTTGCGTATTAAAAAAGATTCTCACTGCTCTCCTGCTTTTATCCACCATAGTTTACTAGGAAACTAGATAAACGAGAAACATTAGTCTCGACTTTTCCTTTTATTTTGTTTTATGAGGGTCTTTGTGTTTTAGGCTGGTAGTTTCGTTTTTGCATACAGCGTTGCAACAGACACACAAGTATCTGTACACTATGAACATCAGGTGTTCAGTGGACCTGCTCAGCTCTGATTTCTGGAAATGCTTTTTCCCTCATCCAGGGTCTTCATGCAGGTTCGGGGGGTTGTAAACTTTTTCCAGTTACTTTTCAGTCTTGCAAAACCATTTACTGTAGCTCCAACACGGTATAAAGTCCTAGCATTCCTTTGAATCCAAGGTCAGATCTACTTAGGGAAAGTCTACCTGGTTAAAGTTGAAATTGTTCTATTGGATATTGAAAAGCAATGGTAATTACCATTACTACTCTTCCCAAACTTTTAAAATTAGCTAAATGGTTTATGTGTAAAGAAGACTTCTGAAGACTTAGTATGCAGTATATTTCATCTGTTTAGATGTTGCTTACAACAGGGACTGTTATGTTTTGTAGCTCAGGCTAGCTTGAGTAATGGAAGTCTTTTCTATTAGACGTTAATTTTTTTTTCCCCCCTCCACTACTTAGGAGAAGAAATAATAGCATTTAAACCACCTGGATTCAATTTGATGTATCACCTATTGAATGAGTCGCCCATGCTGGAACTGTCCCTTAGTTTGCTAGAAGAAGGGGTTAAGCAGCTTGATACTTATGCTCCATTTCCTGGTATGTACCTAGAATTTATTTTTCATGTGAAGTTAAAATGCATACTAAGTAGGATTTAAAGCTGACATTGCATGTCTTCAACTTGATGTTGTTTCTCTTGCGTATAAAAATTGTGTTTTGGGGAGAGTTTTCCTAGTAGTAAACAACTGTCAAGTTCTTTCTTGGTGCAAGGCTTGATGAATGAGCTTTATGAATGTAGGCTATTTAACTGCTCCTTTGTTTTTCTTATGGTTCTTTGTTGTTTGTGCACTGCAGGGAAGAAGCATTTAGAGAAAGCTGTACAGTATTGCCTTGCACTTCTAAACTTCACCCTACAGAAGGAGAATGCTTTTATGGATCTGTTGCGGGAGAGCCACCTTTCCCTTATTGTCACACCATTGGAGCAGCTGCTTCAGGGAATCAATCCTCGCACTAAAAAGGCAGATCATGTGGTGAATATTGCTAGGTATGTGCAAAGTACTGAGAAGGGAGGAGTTTTGGAGGCGCAGAGGTGTTTGGATCCTGGTCCTTTCATTAGTTTTACTAGCTGATGCTTCTCTTTGCACAGAGCATCTCTGAAATTTTTTTTTTGATGGAGGGAGATGTCTTCTCAGATGGTGTGATCTGTGTATTGTCTGGTGTCAGATTGGGATCTGCATTTATAGTTTTCTTTCTGAATTTTTTTCCCCTCATGATTTCTTCCTGGTTGCCTTATGTGCAGTGATTCCCATGCGTATAATTTTCAGTTTGCCTCAGACATTGGTTGTCATAGAGTGGGAGAGTACAACTTCATTTGGTTGCTATTAACCACTTAAATGTTTTACAGTATTATCTGTTAGTATATTAAAAGCATCAGGCTAGTAATCTGAAAATCTGTTTCAAATGTGAAACTTTAGGGTTTCCGTTTCCCACTGACACCTTCTGTTACCGTTTGATTTTATAATGACTTTACAGACAAACCAACATTTCTTCCCAGAAAGGGTCGTTAGGCATTGGAATGGGCTGCCCAGGGAGGTGGTGGAGTCACCATCCCTGGAGGTATTGAAGAGAAGACTGGACAGGGCACTTAGTGCCATGGTATAGTTGACATGGGGATGTTAGGGCAAAGGTTGGACTCGATGATCCCAGAGGTCTCTTCTGACCAAATCGATTCTGTGATGAACGGTAGAATTGAGTACATAAAAAAGCACTGATTATTCTGACATGGAATGCACTAAAAAAATTAACTCTTCCTATATACCTGTTATGTGTCTTTCATTTATATTATTTTTTTTACATAACAGTAGTTGACAAATAGTTTAAAAAGGACGTGCCTTTTAAGATTTATTTATTTATTTATTTATTTTTAACCTCTCCTATTTTGGGTACATGCAGTAGTTGCTTTAGCTAGTTTTGGTCTTCAGTGACGCTCATTTCTGTGTGATCTGAAGCTATTTTCTCCATGTTTCTTGTGTGAGCCCGTGACCAGTTGTTCTAACTTACCCTGCTGTGTTTGAAGTAGATTTTGGATAAAAAGAATAGTTTAAAATTCCAGGGGAGATTATTATCCCTACTCAGCCTACTACTCTGCTTTTGGTGGAGGAGTGTTAAGTGCTTCATGTAGAGTGAAATTGTGTTTGTAGCCTTAACGTTATCTTATGTAGTTTGATCTGTAAATGTTTTAGTTCTAAAAGTTGTTTAATTTCTCATCTGTGCATTACCATCTTGAAATAGTAAAATTCTCAACAATTTCATTACAATAATCTTGTATTTTTGAAGGTATCTTTATCATGGAAACAGCAATCCTGAACTGGCTTTTGAAAGTGCCAAGATTTTGTGCTGTATTTCTTGTAATTCTAACATCCAGATAAAGCTAGTTGGTGATTTCACACATGATCAGGTAAGTGCCAGTTTGTTTGGATCTGGAAAGAGAAACTGGTGGAGAAATACTGGTGCTCCATAATGTTATTTTAAAGGATAGGTTTCTAGGTCAAGTACGTTAAAACTGTATTTGTCTTGTGTCTGCCTACCTCTAAAAAGTCTTTTACTGTGGCATTGTGAAAAGCAACTACTTCGTTAATTGAAAAAAACCACATCTTGAATGTTTGCAAGAAGGAAAAGGGCAATATTCTTTGAGATACTGCGACTTTTTCTTGACTTTATAGTCTTCAACCTGTGAGGATAATTTAGCATATGTAACAATGGTAGATTTTATTTTTTTTTTCTGTTCAGTGGCTAGTTTCTAACCTATGCTTAGAACAGCTATGGCTCTTAACTCCTGCTTATTAACTAGGTTATATAATTCTTGTCTAGAACTTCTGTCAACTTCAATGGAGGGAATTATTAAAGGTATTGTTTTTAATACTCTTAATATCCTCTTCACTTCTATTCTTCTGTTGTTGAATATAGAGTATTAGCCAGAAGTTGATGGCTGGGTTTGTGGAATGTTTGGACAATGAAGATGCAGAAGAATTAATTAATCCAGATGAGGGTATGTAAAAGGCTTCTTAAAAATGGCTTAAACTGTTGTCTTTTGCAGAGAATGAAATTAATGACAGAGGTGAAGAAACTACTTTTAAGTCAGAAAACCCTTTTCTTGCATTGTTTTCTGTAGAACTGGACCTTTAACAAAATGAAAAGCACCGATGTCTTGTTAAGATACATCCACAGTATGATGAGCCAAATACAAACTGAGCCTTTTTACAGAAGACAAGTAGTTAACATTGCTCTGGGTGCATTATTTAGAGCTGTATTAATAGTAATTTGAAATTTTGGTCTTGTATCCCTCTGTACTAATATAAGTTGATGCCTTAGCTTTCTTGTGTTTAACTTGAAGGCTCTGAGGATTATTCCATTAAATAGATTGCTTCACTTCATTATTCACCTCATCCGGGTTTTTTTTTTGTTTTGTTTTTGTGATTTTTTTTTTGGTTGTGTTTTTTTTTTTTTTCAGAGCTGGAGCCTGAAAAGAAGCGGGCACGAATCCATCATGAAACGAGGATCCATATTCTAAATCTCCTTATCACCTCTCTTGAGTGTAGTCCTCCCAGCCTTGCTCTGTATCTCTTGGGATATGAACTAAAGAAACCTGTCAGCACCACAAATCTGCAAGATCCAGGTATGAAAAGGAAAAGTTGATCTGGCATTTAATCAGTTCTATTACCAACACTGAGAATATTTATTGGAAAATTCATGGGGAGAAGCAATTCCTTTAATGTTAAGAATAAGACAACAGACCTTGTTCTAATCCTCAAAAGCTAAATTAAAAGGTGTGTTGATACCCAAATGCAGCATTTAAACAACTGCAGGATTTGATCCTTTGTTGAAGTCAGATTTTGGAACAGATTTGAAATTAGAGTCACAGGGGAAACGAAAATTTAGAAGTGAAACATAAATTTATTTACTATTTTATGCAGTGTCATTGTGTCCACAGTACAAAGAAATGGATTTGATGATCCAAGAAGTACCTACATATGACAATATGGGAATCTACAAAGCAAATTGACACTTTGAACTAGTTATACTATTGGACTACTGTCCTGTCCCTCCTCAAACTCCTGTTTAAAATTAATCATGGGGAAGAAAAACAGTTTTGTTGTTGAGCATTGTAGAAGAAAACCTTTTGGAATATGTGGGCTTTTGTTCTACTGTTAGGCGTATTAATATACTTATCTATGAATAATATATATTCATATATATGAATATATATA